AACGACAGTGAGGATGAAGGGGTAGCTGAGGACATTCTTGCCTCTGGACTGGGAGCCTCTGCAGCCCAGGCTCCTCGATCATTACCAGCTGGTGATTCTCAGCCCATACCAAAGAAAGAGATGACTCTCGTTCGAGAAGAGTTGAGCAAAGTCCGAGAACAACAGAAATTAATTCTCGGAGCCATCAATCGATTGCAAAGAAACAACAACGATCTTTATCAACAGGCGGTCATGTTCCAGAATCAGCATGACCGCCATCAGAATTCCATCAACGCCATTCTTAACTTTCTTGCCAATGTCTTTCGAAAAACATTGGAGGATCAGGGCAACTCGCAGAATGTAAACGACATTATTTCGAGTATGCTCACGAACCAGAATCCGCAGTCTGCCCAACATGGCAGCGTGGTTGATCTGGGAGACTTCATCCAACAGATGGATCCTTCAACATACGGCACGCCTCATAAGAAGGCTCGCGGCCTGCTACCCCCTATCCCCAACCAGAACCGCGCCCAATCAGTTAGATCGCCTACTCCAAACGGGTCTACACATGGCAATTCGGCCTACCAAAATGTTAACCACCACAACCCCGAGATGGGCCATGTCACAGAGCTCCAAGATAATTCACCGAGTGACACAAATTCCCCCACTCTCCGTCAGGAGCTAGAGGCAAACCCTCATGAGCAGATGCTGAAGATGATCAACGAACACAACGCAACCAACAGCCATGGCCTGGACCTGCCAGAGGCTGCCGAGCTTGTGGCCAACGCCCCCAACACATTGAGCAATGCCCAGCGAAGCAAACTGGTGAATTTCATGGCTGGACAGTCTTCTTCTGCTCCATCTGCCAGGTCAACCCCCGCTCCAACTTCAGTCTCTGCCACACCAGCACCTGCTGCTGCTCAAATACCTACATCGGGTGCCCACATGGCCATGCCTACTATGCCTACCTCTACCTCTACCTCCGTCTCACCCCCACCCATTGAATCCAACCCACCTCCGTCGCTTTCCCCTATCATGGGACCTCCCATGGCACCGCCGTCCTTGAACGAGATCAACACCAACCAGTTGGATCTGGATCAACTTCGACGTCTTCAAAGCGAACAAGATGCAAAGATTAGCGAACTTGGTAGCATACTCGGACCATTGAGTCCTTCCGGGCATGTTCCCGGTCTGGGTGATAACGAGGCGTACTTCGATCCTCAGTCAGCAGATTTCGATCAGTTTTTTGACAGCAACGCTTTATTTGGCGATGGGCAGTACAACACTGATGGCACTGATTTCAACTTCAGCCTTGATACAGACCCGAGCCACCTGCATCCGTCACTACCTGCAGGACATTCCATGCCTCATGTGAGCCACCACAATACTCCGAGTCCCGCAGGTACAGAAGATATTCCCCGCAATGACCTGCGGCTAGACAGCGCACCCGATCGAGGAATTAAGCGACAACGCGTGGGTTAGCACTCTATTGAGGATTCCTCGGACTTTACACAAGACTAGGAATTGTGTTCTCGCAGGGAAATGACCAGGTCAATTTGGCCCTTAATTGTATTTATTCCCAACACATACCTTTCTCCTCACCTGGGTGGGTATTTGTCCCTGCAGTGTTGACTAACGATCATTCTCAACAAAGAGCACCAGCAAAAGGTTCAATAGAACCAAAACAAACAGGTTTGCTTCGGACATCAAATATTTGCTGTTATCTTAAGAGCAGAAAGAAAATATTTATAGATTCCATGGACGAACATGGGAGGTATTGAGTTATTCGGTCGGATTGATATAGGGGGCAGTTGGCGCGCTTTTATGATATGATGTTTGATCGATTTAGCACGATTAATAGTCCTTCTTTAATCAACCACTTCTCAGTATGTGCCTCTGTAACACTCATGGCTAAGTGAACTCCTCGTAACCTTCGATGGGATTGACTTTGTAACAGATGTGTTAGGGATTGCCCCATTTCCCTATCAATTTTGTCCGAATCGACCTCAGAGTTTTCAGGTCGTCATGGACCATCCTCATGGTTCAGGAGAAGAGGAATAGGTGATACATTCGTATTGTCGAAAAGTTCAGCCTAAGTCTTATTATAATACTTCAATATCAAAATACCAATCCAGCAGCATAAAAAGTGAGGCCAAAGGCACGCAGGCAAGATAACACAATACTTATTATAATACTTTCAATCATATAATAATACCGTCATAAGAATCCTAGGCTTATAATGATGTGGTCGTAATTTCCTAGATTTCTCGTCACTGCCGTTATTGAGAACTTATTAGGATGCTGCCATGGAGGCTATGTGTAATGGAGTGCGAGGGCAATAGACGATTCCAGGCCTCCGGCAGCCCTTTCATATCCCCTGATGGAAAATACTCAAACTCTGAGAAGAGATGTATTTCTCTGTCACTTCACTGCTTCTTACTTTTCGTTGAGTGCTGGAGTCTCAATAGGCATAGAGGTTTGCCTGGTTCAGAAACGACAAATTATGACACTCGACCTGCAGGTATTGGTCTGTAGGTAATACGTTATCTACTCTGGTAGAACTATCGTATATGAAATAACCTCGTGGCCAATCGAAGAGTGGTTTGACAATGCGAACCTGCTGAACCCTGTGTGCTATATGCACAATAACTCTAACGAATCAGAGGCTAGATCAACTTTGTGTAACTCAAGCCCAGTCAACAGCCACAAAGTCAAGTGGCTCACACCTGTGGCGAACTTTGTCTATCTACACCCCTTCCATATAGAATACACTATCCAATCTCAAGAATGAATCATCTTCACAAAATATGAAAAGACGGTGTGAGGCGCGCGGATGTTGTTTGTTGTTGCAACTTATCGCGTCTGTCGTGATCATCTAATTTCCGTCTCGTCACGGGCTCTCAATGCGCTAGTCACCTCCGTGCCGGGTGGAGACGCAATTTACCAAGTCGCTCTCGGCCGAGTCAACTATCACTACCCTACATGAAGATGCGGGCTCATGTTCGCCTTGTCAATGCGGTGAATAGACGTATACTCGACTCCTTTTCAGGGTCTTCTGCTTGTATCTGTGCTCTATTGATACGTCATTTTCCGTCCATTCTTTGAGTTTTCGCGATAATTATAGTGATGTTCGATATTATGAGAGAAGGGTCATCCCGTCTTGACATTTCATGCATATATACCATTTAGCTGACACTTACAGCGGGATCTGAGCATTGATCTCTGCCCAACTTAAAGATGTGCCCTGAAGAACAGACGAAGCACGGATATCTTCGATTGGCAAATTTCATCTTCGATGTAACGATCTATGAAGCAAGGAACTACGAGTCAATTTTGTCTCGGAATGGCACAGAACAATACCCTACAACATATCATCTAACCAAAAGTCCATATCAACCAACATAGACATCGCGGCAATAGCCAAGCAGTAGTAAATTCCCTCCATTACTCGTAACTCATAAGACATACATAGAACTACCGCCACGAGACCCGTAATCCAGGATGTCGGTCCTGGAATGCTTGCTGCCAGCTGGAACTCTGCAATGTAATACCCGACACCACACCTTAACACAATTCAGGAATGAAAACTATTCAGTCCGACACAGAATGACACAACGAGATATGATTCAATAGACTTTCTATCAAAATTAAAGAATCAGCCCTGCATGAGGGTGCGCAGCCAATAGGAGTCAGCGCATCTTCAACTCCCAACCTGCAGCGTCCAGGGGTAGCACGAACCTGGCCAATACCAGCCACTATTAACTATAAACCTTAAGAAACAACCCTTAAGACAACACCACTATACTAATAATATGCCCTACATCAGTAGTTCCATGCATATGCCTCGCCTCTCCTAGTCAGGGGCTACCCATATTGCGCTGGTTGGGAAGACGCGATGACCAGCTGGCGTCTTTTTTTGTATTATAGAAATGCGAAATTAAAATCTCTCCACAGTGGGAAATTTCCTGACGTCAAGCTCCCAACCTCCGCTCCATCCATCGACGATCTAGATCGTTCAGCTAGAATTCGAAGACAGATTCAGAGTCAGACAAAAGACGCGGCTGAACCAGAAACACCGGTATGACGGCTGGGCTTAAGCCTCAACAAGGCCAAATGAAACAATCGATCGTTGCGTTGAAAAGTCACCGAATACCATTGAAATGAGAAATGAATACGATTTGGAACAGTTCAAGTTAAAGAATTTTTACTTCTTTTTTTGTGCCTGTTTTACGTACAACTACCTATACACAGGACGGGGGCCTGAAGAAAGGAACTAGCCTGACTTCATAGATCCAACCAAAGGCACGATTAATGCCAAAATCCTCCCCCGGACAACGTTTGTTGTGCATGCCAATGGCTTCCCAACTATGTATCGCCATCCCATCCACCTTTGAAAGAATTATGCAGACGTAGTGCTGCTGTCGTGAAGAGTAGGCCCGCCTCATCGTACCAGACCGAGGTCAGACACCATCGTCCCTGTTTTAATAAAGCTGGTCGGTCCATAACCGCCTATGTCCCAAAATCCGGGGGTATCCTTTTTATCCACCGCGAGGGACTTGTGTTGGTGCATTCTCGGTCTTCTTTTTCTTTCTTTCGTCTCGAGGTTGGCCAGACTCCTCATGTGTAATCTATGTTGTCAACCAGTTTTACCCGAACGGTGACCTGTTGTTGGTCCTCTTGGGGGTATGCGGATTCCTTCCACACCGGGAGAGCAAGTCGTATGGAGCCTGAAAAAAAAAAAATGATGCATAAAGTTGCTAAAAATGAGAAAGGGTATGATCCGCGTGTTCCTTTTTTTGGTGCCGCTAGACTTGATATTGATGAGAAATGTTGAATCGCAAGGAAATTGAAAGCAGTCGCTAAATGCCAAAACATATGTGAAATATCATTCTGTTGTGCGACCATGCAATGATTTCGAACAAGTAATAGAATGTCGGAAAGATAGTGTAGAAGCCACGATGATGTACATGGGTGAACGTCGAAGGTCGAATCGTCGATTCAATATCTTGTCATGAAGAACATTATTGGTTCATGCCATGCTGGTTAACGTATCCGACGTATTGGTGTTGACCATATACGGCCGCATGGTGTGGTGGTGTTGGTGTGACCGGGCATCGAGGAGGTAAGCCGTAAGACTCCTTTGTCATGTTGTGGTTGCCCATCAAGGAGTTGCCGTCAGGGGTGATCGGGGGTGTTAGGTAACCATCGAACCCCATCGCGCTGTGTCCTTTTTGGGGAGTGCTGTAGATGTTGCTCGTGTGCTTGTTGATGGGTTCGGCTAGGGGAGTAGCTGGGTTAGCAGCTCGACGGGCAATCGCAGCTTGCTCAGCCATGAACTCGGCCAGCTTCTGCGACACCCGAGAAAAACCTGTTGTTGAGTATTTGCGCGCAAGTGTAGGCGAGGGCTGATGGAGGTGATGCGACAAGGTGATCAAGGTAACGTTCTCTGTCTGGTCCCAACCTCCATCGTTAACTTCAGAGCGGCCAAGGATAGCTCGTGCGAGAGCCAGAGATGAGCGAGCCAAGACGGAAGGCTTGGTGGAAACGAAGTCGCGATGGTACAAGGCGATCTCACACAGATAGGCAGCCATGTGCGCAACCTCCTGATCGTCACCCTCCTCTGCTACCATTAGTTGCGAAAAGAAGTCGACGGTGGGGTGGCCAATGATCCAATCGAGGGTGTTCAGGACATGCATCTCCATTTGTGTGAACATGCCAGCATCATAGAGTCCGCAGCACATGTTGTTGAGTTCGTGAATCTGAGGAACACGGTCCTTCTTGTCGCCATACTTGGCAGCGATGAGTAGCGCAGCGCATCCAACAAGCTGGTAGTGTTGCTTATACACCACTCGCTTCGAGCAGTATCGGTCGAGGAGGTTAACAGTGAGGAAGAGAGTCTCGGGGAGGAGGCCGAAGGCAGCATGGGCCTCGATGAGGAAGTCGATCAAGTAAGGTCGCATGAACCACTGAATCTCGCGTTGCATATCGATGAGGGAAGCATCTGGTAGAGTCTCATCCTAAACATTGTTAGCAAACAAGACTGGATGGGCATCCATGTGGCAACATACCTCCATTTGTCGCATATGCTGCATGATATCCTCGAGGTACTCATCTCCTGCTAATCGTGAAAGCTCAACGCCGATGATGTCTTGCCGTTGACGGGCCATCATTCGTGCTGCTTCTTGGGCTGTGATTCTGTGGTGAGGTTCATCGGACTCCACGAAGTAAGAGTCATCATGTTGAGAGTACGCCATGTTGGGTGGTAGGTGATGGTCTTCTCAGATGGGCGGTGACGGGGCAGAATAATGTCTGTGGCTTGGTGTCAAAGGAGAGACTGTTGGTTCGCCAGGAATCTTGTGGTCGGAAATTCGCGAAAGAGAATGACTTTGGCTGCAAAAAGGAGTGATGCGAAGCCAATTAATTAGGTTATTAAGATATTAAAGAACGTGGATGAAAATGATGAAAAGAGTGACCGTGGCTGGTAACGAGACCAGGAGCATGTAGATAGTGGAGTTAAAAAGAAAAGGGATTGGAAAGGGGGCCGTTTAAAGACGAGATCGACTCAAGGGCTCTAATGCGGTATGTGCGTCAGTATCAAGTTCAACACTAGCCGAATCTCGATTTTGCCAAGCTCGTGACTCGCTGAAGGTATTACGCCGCGATATGTATGCAACTATCCCTTGGTAGATAGACAGGCTGGCACGAGCATGGTATCGAGGGGAGAGGGGAGGAGTCTTACAGCCGCAAGTCGGGGAGATGGGCAAAGCTCGTTGAGATGAGACAGTCCCTGAATCGAGTAGGAATAACGAGCTAACGTCTCCCACTGGGCAAATTTCAAGGAGAAAAAGCGTGGTGGTTGTTGGGAGTAGAGCGGTATGCGGGAGTTGAACACTCGGCATGCAGCTATACGGAAATTAGATATGACATGTCCCCAGCGCTGTGCAGCAACGGCGATGACATACCTTTCCTACGCTCGTGAACGCTTCTGATGGTTCGATTATCGAGTCAGAACGACAGCGATGTAACCGAACAGGCCGCGATTAATTAAATCACGACTGTGTGTGTGGATGGTTCGGAATTCTCTAGGGTGCTGCGGGATTGAGAGTTGAATAACTCGCAATCGTCACTTTGACCTAGAATTTTCCTGTAGTCCAAGGGATACCCAGAGTTGATTGGCGACTAGTCTTCAGTCCGATGACTAGTTTCGGGAAGGGTTGAGAGTGATCGCTATCGGATTGAACTGAATTGAATCAAGGGAGCGGGCTCGTCGATGGGAGGCTTCGTCGGCGGCGGGAGCGGGAGCGTTGACGTTGGCGAGGGAGTGGATTGAGATTAGAGACTGGAATTCCTGGTGGATGAACCGAGGAATTTTACAGTCGAAGGAGAAGCTGGAGGGAAGAATTACAGAGGGCGAAGTGGAAGTAGAAAAGTGAAATACCAGTAAAGGTCTCTTTGATTCACTTTTCCAGTCCGGCCTGTTTCTGGTCCTAGTCTCACAGCCTTGGAGGTTCCTGGCCTTTAATAGGGCGGGATGGGGGGCTTTTTGAGGGAGAGATGTCGAGCGAAAGCCCTGGGGGTCAAGTTGAGAATTCTCCTCGTCTCAAGCGTCTTCAGGCCTGCTGTGTTCGGGTCAGGAGAGGAAGACGGAATGAGAGAATGAGGGAATCAACAAAACGAGAGGAGGAAGAGGGGAGGAGGGAGGATGAAGAGGTAGGAGGAGGATAGAGAAGAAGGAAAAGGACTGGGTGACAGGTACGCGAGTAGAGTAGGTAGTTTTAACCAACCGTAATGCAGCGAGAGGAGAGAGATCCATGGTTTGTATGGGTGGATGGATCCATCCAAGCCATCCATGGCATGGCCTAAGCTAACTTGCCAGGGGCGTGAGGTGTAAATGCAGATGCAGGCGGAGTGTGAGTGTGAGTGTGAGGTGTGCTGGGATCTTGGGTGTGTGAGATGGATGTCCTGTCTTGTCCTGTGCTCTGTGCTCTGTGCTCTGCTTTAGTCTAATCCGTTGCTGCATTGCATGCATCGTCTGTCCTTGCTCCAACATTGGTGAATGCACTGCTAATAATCAAATTCTCTTATTCTCTCTCTTTCGCAAGACCTGACATGGACTGGCTCGATATTACCGTAATATCGACCTGCCCGGTTTTCATGGCCGTGGTACCTCTTGCGGATACGCTGACCAGGTACCTGTTTGCTGGGCAACAGGTGGTGGAGGTACCTAAACCGGCCCCTGCTAGGAGGCCACCAGGAGTTGCACACCTAAGCTCGGGTCGCGCGCCCACCAAAGGGAACGCCAATCCTGGCAGTTTGAAGTTTGGGAGAGGAAAAAGGAAGCTTCCATTCGATTTGCTTTTACAGATCCATCAAATCTACCAATTGAGAACCCTCATTTGCTTTTTATATTTTCCTTAATGAAGCACGTTCATTATTGACTCTCCTTTTACAAACCTTGAAACATTAATACATAGTTTATCGCAAATCAACTTAATACTGAATGAAATGCCTCTTCTCTTCTTTTGGCGGGCTGACTTACGCTACTTTGACCTCACCACTTTGACCATCGCGCACCCAATTCAAGGCACGCTCTTCAGAGGCTGGGGCTAAACTCAGGTAGCTTCTGCTTGGGGCTTTGGGTGTGAGTGGAGGGCAGCATAACGCAGCTCTGCACAGCACAACACGACACAGCACAAGAAATCAGAGGACGACATGGGGTGTGCAAGGTACAGTGCAGCAGCTTTGGGCGGACGCTAGCACTCACTTGGGGCTTGGATAGAAGCGTGGTGAAGCGTGTATCAAGCGTGTGAGCCTGCGCTGGGCCTGTCGACTTGTGCCAATTGTGTCGTGTCGTAGCGTGTTCTGTCTCTCGGCTGGGGAAATACGGCGTGGGCTTGAGGCAGGGATCCGCGAATGGAGACGGGCGTGTGAGACCGCATGTAAGAAAAATATAAAAAATGTGAAAGTGTAGGTGAGAGTCAAAAAAAGAAGGTTGATTGAAGATGACCGCGTCAAGGCTAGGAGAAATGATGCCGAAAAAGCACTTTGTGATCCAGTCCGAGGTATTAATGATGCTCATACATCGGATTGATCGTGAATGATTTATCTTGATCCGATTCAATAGTACGTAGATGGCAAACATGGAAAGACATTTGTCTGATACAGAACAGAAACAACGACTACTGGTAGTTCGAATTAAGCAATCTTGAATTATATGTTGAATCGACTTTATCGTGGAGTGAGAGGTGGCTTCAAAGTGTGAGAGAGAGCCTCAATATTTTGGTAGCACGATGCACTCGGCCGAATCTATTTATTTGTTGACTGCTTTCAAGTTTTGATAAGACATTTATTGTTATATGCTTCAACAACGCAGTCCTCTCTTAAGCGGCCACGACAGTTTGTTTGTTTAGAACTTCTGCTCATGGCCGCTTCATGGCCTCGTTGAGCAAGGCCACAGCCGGCCCATTGTCCTTGTTTATCAGCATTGTACGTCCATTCAATGGCCGAATGACCTATTAAGGAGCACTACACAGACTCACCACAGCGAGCCGGCAGACACCAGCTGTAAAGAACCGTCACATTCGCATGCACCACCTAGCCTTTATCATGGCAACCAAGACATTTTGAAGAACTCAACGACACCACTCAAGACCAAGTTGAGGGTGCCCGCCATGACCGCGGCCTCTGGCCGACTGAAACCATCGTCATATTGAGCCAAAGTCAATGCGCTTGACTGCCAGCGAGAGTGATATACGCGCTAGCTCGGTGTAAACGAAACAGAAATCATGAGATATTGTCACCATTGCATCAATTCCATGATAAGGTGATGGCCAGGGGCTTGTTTGAGATGCCCCAATAATAGCAAAATCATCTGTCAGAACATCGTCCCTGTTGCTCGGGTTGCGAATGCAATGCTTGTCTAAACCTTCAAAAACATGGATTCCCTTACAGTGATAGTGTCATGAATATAAAAAGTCCGGTCAACAGTGGACGCTTCTGCACTCTAACGGGGTTCCGAGCTGCCCGTAGCTTAGCCAACATCCCACACTCGTCATCACTATGGCGGGATAAGCTCCCGTTGGACACTTGGCTGCACTCGTCGTTGCCCAGCGCAGCTAACGCGTGTGCAAGTTGAGGTTAGGTTAGCCAATGAACCACTTGCTGCGCTTGCTTTACAAGCCCACAAGTTACTGTGCAGGTCCGACGGGAACGTGAAGCCATCGCGTCCCGTCTCGTCTCGTCTCGTCTTCCTCGACAACCGTGTCGTTCCTCAGTACGAATCCATACCGACGCGGCACCTGCGCGACGAGACTTGAACAGAGACTAATACGATTAACTCGAGTCTTGCCTAAATCCTGACTTTCATCTGAATCAGCCCAGTTGCCCATCTCGTCGACCAAAGGGAGGTTTCTGTGGGTTTGGGGGTGTTGTCTGCCAAAAAGAAAAAAGCCTGAGCCTATGATAATCACTGAAGGGCTCTAAAGGACTGAAAAGCCCTCGTGCTACAGTAACCACCAGTAGTTATCCGCTGCTCGCGTTGCTTTCAGGTATTATCGACTCTTACATCCTCCCCGAGCCAATCAATTGGCTGCATCGGGCTTCTGCATCTCAACTAATCATGCATGTAATTGAATGCTCGAGCATCAATGCCATTCTCAGTCTCCCTCACATCTAAAGCTGTCACTCAATCCCCACAGCGTGCGATCTTTACTTTGACTTTCCAATATACCCACTGAACTACAGGTCGCTAGACAAGCCTTGGGCAAGATGAGAGGCTCGCATAGCTCTCGCTTCATTGGCTTTAGCATTTTGCCTCCTGTGTTAACTTAACTTATGCTGTGCTGTGCACCTGTCATTTGTACATGATTGTCAGCTCTCTAGCTGTAAACGTCAAACTGTCACTGTCACTGTGTCTGTACGTAGCATGGTGTTCGTTCATCGGTGCGGTCCTCTCCTCGCATTCCCTAGCCTAGCTCAGGGGTGACGGCCCGGCCGTGGTACAGTACCAAAAGTCGTGAGACGCTGTCAGCGTTCTGCCCTGCTAGAACCCTTGAAAGCTGTGGTTTTGGGAGCACAGCACGGAGCAACATCTGCAGCAGGTTGTTCTGCGTATAATGCCAAGCCCGCTTTGGTCCTCGGGCGTATCGTATCGTATTTCGTTGAGTCGTAGGAAGTTTGCTCAACCGGACATGTCCCCGCCTTGACGACGCTATTCACAAATCTGACACTATTCGCATATCCGTACATAAACACAAATCATATCGAGGCCATCTTTTCTCCTGTATGTCATTGTTCGACAACTTCAACTAACAAGCAACTTCCCTTGAATGAGCTGTCAGTCTCACCTTCAGCCTCATTTCCCTGTTCTAGACATGATCTCGCTCGATACTATTCTGAGCATCGGAACTCAAATCCGTGCCAGGTGCCACTTTGACAAAGCGAGATCGCTATCATGTCGCAAACGAATTTATTCGCCCGTTGCGTATCCGGTTGGATCTCATACGTATCAGACCCATCTCATAGTCGATCTCAGTTTCCTCATCCCCGTCCATGTAAGGCGGGTATATGGAACTGTTGGTAAAAGGAGGTGCTTGGCGATACTGTGCAAGTAATAAAACATGGTGATTACGGAGTATTGTTACGAGATATTCCATGCAGTGGCTGCATGTCCACCAACGCTACTGCTAACTCACTCAGACGTCCCGTCCATATTAACGGTCGTTATAGCGCTGTAAGTGGTATCCGATAGGCACAGCATTTTTGTTGGTTATTATAGATTGAAATCTGCTGCTGTATCACATCACACCTCATGGCATCACCAACAGATTGCTTGTCTCGCCATGGATCAGACTCCTCCAAACAAATCTAGTTCAAGGCTAGTCATGGCAACTCGTACAGCTTCACCGATATTTGCGCTCATCTTGTGTTGTACGTGCCCGTCAGCGGGCTCAGTTCGTAATAAGTCGCCCGATGCTCATTTCCATCCCATGCCGCCGCTTCAATTTACTGCTGCAAGGGAAGCCGGGAAAAAAATGGCTCTCTCCACAGCGCACAAGAGCGTCTCCACGCCGAAAAGAAACATGCTTGTATAAATGGTACGCATAAGACGTCAAACGGGCACAAGCACAACACTTTGTGAAGATAATGACGCGAGTATGGGGTTGTTATACATTAGCCCGCCTGTGCAAGTGTCGGTTACTACAAGCAAGACAAAAGTTTCGCTGTTAGCGATTGATGAGCTTCTCGAGTTGCCTAGTCGACAAGCGAAATGGATTGCCTTCAGATAGTGATTCAAATTCCAACGAGCCAGGGTCTTTGAAGAATGGAAAAATCTCTCTGTTGATGCCATCATAGGAATATTCTTTCAATTCGGGGTCCAACATCCATTTGTCCCTCTGGTATCTAAGAATGTCGCCGCCTCGTTATAAGTCATATAAACGTCCGTCAAACATTACTTCAGCCGCTTGTGCTTGGTGGCACTCAAACCACAGCTTCCGCCCAAGTTGTCGCAAAGCCCAGTCTGACTAGGCATCAATTCAAGAAGAATATACTCCTGTTGCCCTGAAGTCTCATCAAATCAGGAGCACTGCTCGCGCGCGGGATGCGGTTAGGCGTGGGATCGTCCAAAACCTCCACAATCCTCTCTGACGACAACGACACCAGGCACACGATCAAGGCACCAGGTCTAGTTCCAGGTTCAGGCACAGGCACAGGCACAGCACACGACCATATGAGGAAGCAAAACTCGCGAATGGGCCCGAAAGCCGGAAAGTATCACATACACGTCTGCTCAAGACGAGACCTGCACCCCTTTATTAACCCATCCACCTCGCGCTCACGTTATTAACGCGCCCGCGTCAAATGGCGACGCAGTTTCTGAGAGCCAATGAGACGGCGTAGACGCGCATTTCATGAGACTCTGGAGTCAGCGCATCTTGGGCCGGACCCAGGTGGCTGGGCGAACGGGAGAGCCTGGAAAAAGAAACCGAAAGTTGAAGGGCGGGCTAGGCTTAGCGTCAAGGACCTTGCACAGCTGCACGAATTGACAAAAAACTTCAAAGTGCAACGGGCACAGTTGGATCGACAGTATCTGACCTGTAACCTGCAACTGAAGCAAGGCAGAGACAGTGATTGAGTCAAGGTAAGGGTGATGGTGCTGGAAATGAGGCTTTCCAGGTCATCGTCAGTTTCTGAGCCCGATCAGAGAGGTAATAGCCTGATCGAGCTTTGATCTCTTACGAAGCCTTCTTTTCTCTTTTGGTTTCTGTCACCACTTCTTCTCTCACTTCTCACATGCGCCAGCTTGACGCCAGTGAGGGGTAGCCCCAGGAACCACGTCCAGGATCCCCTGGTTGTTCCCGACGCGGAGGGTCAAGATATCCAGATCTGGCTGAACCATGACCAAAGGTGTGCCAGCCTGTAGATCTTCTATGCCATGCCTCATTCGTTATTTCTTGATCATGATTCTTTGATTGGAATTGACCCATATATGTGACAAGCAATTTGTATGGTCAAGAGGCTGGTTTAACTATCATGACGTGCCTCCCTCGGGGTCTGAGTTTGATCGTGGTGATCTTGACTTTGCTCTTGACTCTGATGGATCAAGACTGATGGTAGTGGTATTCGTAATTCAGTATGGTTCAAACTCTCTACTGTTTAGCTGCCCAGAGACGATCACTTGGCTTCAGAAACCCCTCACACCAGGAAGAGCAACTCCGGAGAAGGAAGACACAGTTCCGTAAAGGTAATTACAGTGAATAGTTTTGGCTGAAATTGTTGCCCGCTTGGCAATCCCTCAAATGTTTCCTCCGCAATTGCTGAGATATCTAACTGCGACGGTTCAGCGCCCAATCTTGGACCCAACCAAAAGACAAAACAAAGGAGGCCTGAACAAAGACCGGCATAGGTAAGCCACGTCTCGCGGATGCCGCATGAGCCACTTCTCCCTGCCGATCCTCAAGGGAGAACAGATGATATTGAGACTGCTGGTGGCTTTGCGTGTCCCTGAATCTCAACACCAAACCGCAAAATAGAATTGTCTCGACCACGGTCCTCAACTCATGCCAGATTCGCGATTGACGGCCTTTTGGAAGTGAGCCTAGTGCTTTGGTCGGTACGCTACTGGCTGTGATCCTACTCACCCATGTCCCAGCAAAGTGGCTGACTTATCGTTCAAGGTGCATCAATGGTCTGTCTTCAATATTTCGTCTTCAACCTACGACTAGAAGCAAGGCAAATGTCACCACGCCAACAAAACTTTGAGCTCTGTTCTCTGAGCTCATATTTCCTCATCATTTCCCTACCTTTAATATGCAGGTTTCAATTCTCCCTCACATTTGACCTTGAAAATGCCAAAATGTGACGTAGGACCTTAGCTTCAGCAGTGGAGAAGGACGAGCTATCAATGGGGCAGGCGTGGAACCTAGTGCAATTGAGCCTTGAAACTTTGCCATTTAAAGTCTAGGAAGCTTGAAACTAGTCTCTGCCCCGCATTCACTCTCCGAGTTCCCAATTCAGGGATCACCAAATTCAGAAGAGTCTTTTGCAGAGCAGAACCAAGATCCGATATTACTGTACAGTTGCTTCTCGAGAAGCGACAGTCTCTACAGAGATGAGACATTGACTAGAATCTGTTTCGGACCCTTCTATTATCGATCTAGGTCCCGAGTTCCGCTCTGCTAAGACCGAGTGGTCTCCTTCACATTCCCGTGAGACTGTGGAAATGAAAATGCACAGAGCCGCAATCTTCTCAGGAGGACTTGTCTCGTCAGAGTAACGCACACGAGTAACCTCGGTGGTGTGAGGTGGTTGCGCCGGTTTCCATTTTCACACTACTAACTACTCCAATTAGATCCTTAGCACCGCGGGTAACGAATCCCAAAGAACGGCACGCCTGCAGCAGGCTTGCAGAAGTGCTGTCACTTGTTGCAGAATGCCAATGGCAAGCTTTCAAAGGCATGTCGATACGTCAGAATGTGCAAGCACTTTAGGAGCAGGGCTAAGTCAAGAGTTATCACCTCGTATAGCATGGCATGCTCTGATTTTCCCCTGGCCCGGGGTAAGACTCTGAGAGAGCGCGTTAGGTTGGCTTGATGCCGTGGCTACTGCAGAGTTAAGGGTGAAAGGGTCCGAGACACGAGTCTCGGATCGAGTTGCTTAATTATGGCGTCAACGACATGATATCGGCTTGGTTTTCTGGCTCCACGTCTTGTTTCTTTTGGTGATGCATCATCCCTCGCTTCGCCCTGCTGTGGTGCATAGTGTTGCGTTGCTGCCTCCGCCTCCGCCTCCGCTCAAGTCAACGAATTACGCCCAAGCCGAGACCCTGATACTCATGCTGACACCACTCATAATGCCTGTAGCTCAACACCGAACCAAAGAACCCTTAACTTAACTTAAGATCAACCCCATCCCTTGCCCGCGCCCCCATTCCGAAGCCCCGTAACTTTTTTTTTAAACGTGTCTTGTCTCTGATGAAATAAACGCCAAAAGACGCCTCAGAGACGCGCGGGCTTTGGCGATGATTTGCAGCTCGCAACACGTTCCACGTACATGGGTTGCTGCGAGACGCGTGAGATGAGGAGCCACCTTCACCGCAGTGAGGGGGAGTTTGAAAAAAGGAAGTTAAAAATCATCATAGGCGGACGCTCACGCCCATATTGAGGTTGGTCACGATGGAGTCTGCATCGGCCACTCCATCACCTCGCAGAAACCGCCGAACGCAGATTTTTTTTCTGTTTGATGAAGTTGTCGCCGCCGGCAATTGCTGACTACATATTTTCCACTTGGCGGATGTTGCGGTTCTTACTTATGCGTGCAAGGACCATGAAAATCACATTAATTGAGCCCAGGACCAACAAATAGCGGGCTAGACACCAGTATCCATCGCCTGAGACAAGCGGTCCCCCCCGAATTAGTTATCAACAGCCTCGTTCCCGTTGGTTGCACTCTCGACATCCACTCTCCGAGACGGCACCGTGGGAGAGATCTTTGCCATCCGAGGGTTGAAACCCGGACCTCTGTAACTGGTGGATGTCACCAAGTGGTTCGTAGTGGATTTTTTTCTTCTCCTTCGTCTTCTTGTTCCCGCAGTCTGGCCCGCGGCGATGGAATCAGAGCCTCTCATACGCTCAACAAGTGCCGTCTGCCGTCTACAGTACGTAAGATCCAGTCACGATAGGGTTGGTTCGACCGACAGAGTGGTACTGTTGCTGTACCCCATGAGGTTCCATCCTCGTCCCCGACCACGCTGCAATTTGAGGTTATCCACAAAGAGATCCAGATTTGCACAAAATGGACACGAATGCACGTGCCAGGCCCCAGCTTGAAATGACGCTAATGTGCAAATGTTCCAGAAGCCTTCCACAAAGCGGAGCTACCCGCGTAGGTGACGACACATTTGACTCCTTTGACTCCTTTTCTGTGTGAAATGAGGCTGAATCACCCGAGCAGCCATTCTCGTTTTGGCGTAGCGTCCCCCCACACGTCGGGTCGTGATGCGCTAAGATACGGTACCTTCAGGGTCCATTTTTACGCGAAAGAAGCCTGTTCTTGACTTTTTGGACTCTCCTCTTTTTTATACATGCTCATCTCGTCTCTTGTGCACGCCTCAATAGCTCCGCTGTGCCGTTTTGTGTCTCGTGACTGGTGCGTATGCGGATGTTGGTCCTGGCTTGACTGTCGGCAGAATCATTTCCTAGCGGCCCAGGCCCATTGAATTCGATAAGTATCCATCCCTCGCTTCTTCACCACAGCGACGCAAGGTTATAAGAACCAGACTAACTGGATCCATGACGCCTCTAAGGGAACCGAATCCATTCATCTGAATGGTTTCATGCAAGGAGAAAAAAAAAGTCAAGGAAAAAAAGGAACCATGATACCCACTTGACTTTCAACTTTATGCATTGCCAAGGCTGGTCGGAAATGCATCACCACGGGTTTCACGGCGCTGGGGAGAAACCCAACCTTGCAGTTTTTTATGAATTGCCATGGCGATGACACGAAATCTCTGATCACCCTCATTCAAAGCTCCGCCTCTTGCTTGAAAAACTCTCTCGTGCTCCTCTTTCGCACAGCGTCTCCGAGGTTAAGCTATCTTCAACCCATCCTTGGTCCTCGGTGTTACTCGTAATGCTCCAGCTTGAGCGCCCCGATTGACGGCGATAGAGACACCATCGGCAGTTCGTGTCAAGGTCTCCGCAAGGAGAACTGTTTTTTATCAAATGCCGTCGGCAGCCGCCAGTGAAAGGAATTTTCAAAGGTTCCAGAATACCGATTAATCCGGAAGAGATCTTGTGATAACCTCACGTTGCCTACTCAACTGGTTTCGGTCGCAGGTCCAGTGGACCTTGACACCACGCCATACATTAAAAACTCTTACTGAGTCATTGCCACTGACAAAGTAATACGCTCTTGGTTGAATTCAACCATTGCCCTTTTCACGGAAAATGTTGGGGCCTGTGGTTTATTTTGCTACTTCTTTTCGTGTTTCGGATCTGTTCTTGTTTATCGCGGTTGTTGATTTCACGTTGCTGGGCATATTGTTTAAGCTCGATAGGATCTGACATCCATATTATTGCTGTTAACCTATATCAGTCTGATGCCAGGGTTGACATTCCATCAACAATGTCTCAATGGACCCTTCGGCAGACAAGGAATCTTGAAGTCGTCAATACAAACATGGAAGCCATGTGTCTCTGCGGCCCCTCCAGGGTAGCGCCCACAGCAATCTTAGTTTCGCGGGGATGCAATCACGCGATATCATTGGCTGGTCCCATCATCTGGGCAGCCTGCTTGCAATATCTGTAACATGGAAACTGTAACATGGAAACTGATACACCCGCTACACCAGAAGAGCTTGGACTGCGGTCCAGTCATACTTGGAAATTCCCCGCACCTCTTGTTGTCGATGCCTTCATGTTCTCACGTCTGCCGCCAAGTGGCGAGTGGACGTGTCTCAAACCCTACCAGGCTGAGTCAGGAACAAACCTGTTCACAAAGTTACCAAGATTACTTTTCCAAGCTATCATGCACTTCTGTGTCTCTGTCGCATTACATGCTACACTGATAATTGTCTCTTGGTCATGTTGCCGCGGACGATGGATTTATATCGCGCGCGAATTGAGTTTCAAAACAACAATAAACAATAAACATGGAGATAAGCTTCAGAAACCCCGAGTGGGATGTGTCCTGCATCCGAAAGAGGCATATGCGAGTGACCAGGGTGGCATTTTGCTGACCATGAACCACGATCTTGGATCTCAAACCAAAGGCCAAGAATTGACCATCCAGTGAGAAGTCTCAATGAGGTTTGGTTTCTCGCTGCCTGCGTTTTCATGACGACGAGTTGCAGTCAATGGTTCGTCTCCGAGGGTCGACCCCTGGTCGCTTTAGGTTGATAACCGCCGCTTCGCTTGCAAGTCTGCCCTACGACCTGATACGGATTGATGTTCCCTTAACCAAGTTGGGTTAATGGCTCAAGGTGTCAGCTGGATGTGGGAGGCTGTGAAGAAGGCCATCACCGAGCGTCCTATCAGCGTTGAGAATCGACATGTCGGTTGTTGACATGAACATGTCCCCTCTGCAGATCCATGCAGTGCATGTGAATGGCTTGATGCCGTTGGTCTGTCGTGATGGGTGATCTGTAATCTGATGGGATTCTTACGAACGGGGTGCAGATTCGACAACGCGACACTTTACGAGTGCGCCATTCACTGATTGTCAAACATGATGGACTTGATCGACCCGGAAGACGATCCTCAGCTGTCGGATGCTATCGGAATAAGACCGACTGAAAGGAACATTCTGGTTCGGAATACTTGACCAAAGTTGGTAAGCTATAAACAGTATCACCAGTTGATTCGTGAGCGGACAATGAAGCTGGGACAATTGACAGGGCATAGCCTTGTTTGGAACCGATGGTGAGATTGGTTTGTGGCCTCTGGTTGGTCAAGAAGTTCTTCATGTTTGCTTTTTGAGACACCAAATCGGGAAACTAGCCAACCTGGAATCTCCAACAACAGCCACCAGAGGCCCAGTCTTACCAAAGGATTATTCAATCCCCTCGGCCGCCCGCGGGGCTTGGTCAACTTGAATATGAGACTGAATATAGGCCGCATATGTGGCAAGAGGTAAAATCAAGTCCGTGATCGCGGAAGAGAATCCCAATCGGGGCCATTTTTTCGCGATCTGGTTCACTCGAAGCCTTTGACCGGGGCCCCTGTTCAGAGCTGGGGCTCGTGCGGCGGTCATACGGGTTCGTCGTCTTGGTTCATCCCCGCAACTTTTGCAGCCTGGGTTCTTGTGGGGATTTTGATCGCGATTCGGGAGTCAAGTCGATCAAGTTCAAGGGTTTTTGAAGAATCATGAAATGTTTCGGTTTACGGAGAGATGGATGAGA